GATCCACGGACTGCAGGCATTCGATCGAAGTGCCTTGGTCGATGTGTGTATCTCGCGAAGTGCTTGGTCGGTGTGTGTGTCTCGCGAAGTGATTGGTCGACATGTGTACTCGCGAAGTGATTGGTCGACATGTGTCTCTCGCGCGGGTGGGAAAAACGCTCGCGCGCGACAGACGCGCGCCATGGGCGTGCGAAGCGGCGCCAGCGGACGCTCGCGCGGGAGCGAGGTGTACGGCGAGCGCGCGGTGGATGACGCGCGTGATGCGCTCAGGGATCGCGTGCGCGCGTTCGAGGCGGTGCGGGATCGCTCATCGCGCGCGCGAGGCGATGGATGGTGCGCGTGAGCGTTACGACTGACGCGACGACGTGGATTTCGCGGCGCAGCGCGCGGACGGGACGAATCCCGAGCACGCGAGGGCGCTGGTGGAGATGCGCGAGGCCACGCGCGCGGTGGAGCGACTTCGTGGGACGTGGTCGAGGAGAGGCTTGCCGGGCGTGGCGCGGGACTGGAGCGAGCGCAGAGAGAGCGACGCGCGAGAGATCGCGCCGCCGCGATCGTGCGAGACGTACGACGCGTACTGCAGGTGCGCGCGATCGCGCGATGGATGATTTGGATTTTTGAGCGCGTCGACTGACTGGAGGTCGTTCGCGAACGGTAGGTACGTCGAGCGCAGAGACGCGGCTTTACGAGGCGAGCGCCGACTCCTCGAGTCGCGCCCCGAGGACGACGACGTGGACGACGACGCGATCGAGCGTCGTTCTGGACGCGATATCATCAATCGCGCTCGACGCGACGACGCGGCGGATGTCGCGAGAGACGACGGATCGCCCGCTTGAGAGTGAGGGCTCGGGCGTCGTTTGTTCGCATTCGTTGACTCGCATGTTCTCCCGCGCTGTTCCCACGACGTCGCCCTCGACGTCGTTGCCGACGCGCGGGTCGTCTGGAAGCGCGCGATGTCGTTGTTTGAGCGTATCGCGGACGGCGTTACCGCCGCGTCGCCGTGCGCGCGCGTCCGGACGCGGCGGCGGTCGCTTTGGGTCGCTCGAGCGCGCGCGCGAGACGCTCGACGACGGCGGCTCGGGATTCGGTGGCGGCGGTGGTGATTGGGGATTCGGTGGCGGTGGTGACGATGGTGATGACGACGAGGCGTCGGATTCGGACGCGAGGCGATTCAGCGCGTGGATGAAATTTCTAGTAGCCGCGCTCGCGGCGCGGTGGGCGACGTTAAAGTTGATGGCGTACAACGACCGTCCGCTGTACGTCGACGACGACTCTTCACCGGATTGGCGAACGCGAAAGGTATCGATCGTTATCCCGGCACGAAACGAGTCGCGAGCGATCGGGCCGACACTTCGATTGTTAAAGCGCGCGCTCGAACCGGAGGCGTGCGAGGTCATCGTGAGCGTCGGCGACTCCTCAGACGACACCGCCACGATCGCGCGCGAACATGGCGCAGTCGTGGTGAACGGCAAGAAAGGCCGGGCGTGTCAGATGAACGCGGGCGCGAAAGCGGCGAGTGGAGATTACGTCTTATTTCTACACGCCGACACGACGGTTCCTTTGGATGTCGTCGACGTCATCAGACGCCAACTCCGAGACGAGAAGACCGTCATCGGTGGATTTGTGAGCTTGATCGAGACGAAATCACGAACGTTCTGGGGGATCAGTTGGCACAACGTGATCAAAACCGACTACTGCGCGGTGATCTCCCGTCCGTTCGCGTACCTGCGCGGATTTAGAATTTTATTCGGCGACCAGGCAATGTTTTGCCGACGAGACGATTTCGACCGCGTCGGTGGGTTCGACGAGTCGTTACCGATCATGGAAGACGCAGACTTGTGCGTCAGGATGCACTTCAAGGGTCGAGGGAAACACCGAGGTCGAATCAAACTCCTCGACCGCGTCGTCACCACGAGCGGTCGCCGCATCGAGCGTTTGGGTAACGTCAAGGCCACCGCCGTGCACGTTCTCATCGCGTGCGCGTGGAATTTTGGATTCGGGGAGAAATCATTAAGACGATTGTACGATTGGTGTTACAGGGACGTGCGGTAGGATTTAGATGCGCGAGAGACGGCGCCGTTGACGATGTAACGACGAACCCGCGTCCGCGCCCGCCCTCACTCATGGACTCCTCCACGTTCCCGTACATCGGCGCCGAGACCGCGGTGGAGACGAAAGACGGTCGCGTCTTCGTCGGCGCGCTTCGATGCGTCGATAAGCAGCGGAACGTCGTCCTGAGCAACGCCGCGCAGTACGATGGGTGGGACGCCTTCGCGCGGCGTCGCGACACGCGCGCCGCCGCCGCCGCCGCCGACGCGCCGCCGCCGCCGACGATCAACATGATCCTCGTCGGCGTCGACGCGCGCGTTCGGTGCGAGGTGAACGCGCGCACGGTCGTCGCGCCGACGGCGACGACGTGAGCGCCGTGGTCGAGCGTCGCGGTCGAGGGTCCGTTACACCCGTAACTTTATCCACACCAAGGCGAGTGGGTTTGTCCGTCCCGATTCATCCGAAACGCGTGTATTAGTGGTGAATAGCCCATCACGGCTCGATCCACGTACTCCAACGGTCCTATGGTGTAGTCGGTAACACTGTGGACTTTGAAAGACCACGAGCGCACGACGTCGTGCGCGCGAAACACCCCCTCGAGCAGCCGTCACACGCTGCGTGAGCGCGTAGATGCTTGGAAAAGTCATCCACCGCCTCTGGTTCGATTCCAGGTGGGACCTGTACTGTATTTTTGTTAATTGGATCACGTTTCAACCTCTGCCTGAGGGACGGACCTGTTTTTTTTATATCACATCACACAGCCTCGACTACGACGCACACGTCCGAGAAAAATGTCCCACGCCGACACGATGCCCGCGGCGTCTCCGGGCGCCCGCGCGCGCGCGGCACGTCCGCGCGCTCGCCCGCGCGCGCGCCG